TTGCGCCCCTTGGAGTCATCTTGTTCGTATCCAAACAGTAATCATCACATTCAATAAACACCCCTTTTTGAGACTTTGTTCCAAGATGTTTGTCCTTTACACAATCGTCTGATCCCTTTTTAATTGTTACCGAGCAACCGCGCGAAACAAAGAGAAAACCCACCAATCTGCATATGAACACAAAATTAACCGAATAAAACAAATAGGGAAAACAAAACCTCTGATTATTAAACTGATTACCTTTCTGATTGGATCAATTGACGATCAACTGATTCTTAAATAAATTGCAGAATCTGTGAGAGCAGCAAGTGGAAGAAAGTGGGGATGTAAGCGTCTTGTACGAACTGGGTAACGGACAGTCTAAATTAGATGAGCTACGTGAACGAGCCAAACCGAGTCCAAGTCCCAAAAAAATAGCTCGGGCTCGACTTGAACTTTTTTTTGAGGTCAAGCCGAACCGAGCCGAGCTCGACCAAAACAAATAAGGCTTTGCCCAAGCTTTGGCCAAAATTGGCTAGATTTTTTATTTATTTTTTCTTCCTTAGCTACCTCTAGGCAGCTTTTAAATTTTTTTTAAATTAATTTTAATTTTTTTTATTAATTACGGGCCAACCCGAGCCTAGCCTAAGTTCTACTAAGCTCGAGCCAGGCCTGGCTCAGGCTTTTTTCGGGTCGAGCCGATGATCTTTTTTGCCATCCCTAGGTTAGAGTATTTGCATGGGTAATTGGCGTAAAACGTCCATACTGTTGGTGATTTTTGTGAAAAACGTCCGTACCTTTGATTTCTTGGCACAGAACGTCCCAACCTTTACCTTTTCTCGTGCAAACGTCCTTCCATCCACAAACCGTTAGAATTCACCGTTAAATAAAAAAATTGGATTTTTATTTTCCACATGTAAGGGTAAAACCGTCCAACCACCATAACTTCACAGTTCTCTACTTCTAAAGGCTTCATTACGCAAAACCCAAGTACTTGGAAGAGAGATGGACCTGGTTTCTCCATCTCACGCCTAACCCGTCTCTTCATATTCCGTTCATCGCCTTTTCCTCTCAGTTCCCCGCCTCGTCGTTCACCGTCTACGATTTGTTGAAGCCCACAGTGAGACGCGAACGATTGTAAGAAAAATTCGAAAATGTGTTTTTATGATTTCTGAACAATCTTTCGATTTTTGGCTTGATTGAATGTTTTCATTTAGTTTTCTAGTTGTTTATCACCGTTATGCAGGTATATACTCGAAGCAGAAATCTTGCACTGAACATGCTTCCTTCGATTTTGAGGGATACCGGAGATGATCCACACTTTTACGGTATGTTCTTCAATCTACCAAATTTCTACCTGCATTTAACCCAAAAAATGATGTGCATTCACCCAATTTTTTTTATGCTATTCAGTTTATGAGTTGTGTGTGAAATTGGGGGTTTTCGGTTGTTTTTGAAAAATGTTCATGACTTATACGTATCCGTGTTAAATTCTTGCTGGATTTTTGTTTTTAAATTACCTACCCTTTGTATGCAGGTGGTAATTCTCCATACTTCACTGTTGAATTTCATCATGGCGAAAATTTTTATGCAAAGCCAAACAATTTGGTGTATGAAGGGGGGTTTGTGCTTTTTATTGATTATTTCTAGGCTTCATGGTGCACGAAAGAGAATTTGATGAAATTCTTACGTGCATTTGACAATGACATGGTGTTGGAGTTCTATTATAAGAAGCAAATAATTAGTTTTGGAAAGTGATTGACGAGATTGGCAAGCGAAAGGGATATTTTGTGCATGCTTAAAGACGGGGAGGGCCAAGACTTGTTACAAATGTATGTCATAGTCCCAAGGCAATCGTATGCATTGCCGCTGCATGCTTATGAAAATTTTCTTTACTACTTATTCTCACTTTTATTGATACGAAGGTCCTAATAATTTTGTTATGCTATGCATGCTTGGTATTTGAGTCCAAGGCCATCTTGAAGGGTGCAATCACTAAACATTTGGTTCGTAGAAATCGAGAGGTCAAATACAAGAAGGCTGATGCCATCAAACTGAGAGCCATATATAAGGGGGATCGCTCATGGTTGTTATATGCTACGATTAGCATAAGAAGACAAGCTTCGTAATTAAAACTTTAGTCAAAGAGCATACATGCCCGATGGTGTATAGGAACTTCAGAGTGAGCTCTACCTATTTGGCCAATAGGCATTTATCTGATTGGAGGTTTGAACCAAAAATGTCAGTTAGTACATTCATGGAAATGGTGAAAATGGATGGTTTGGGTGACATATCAGCTTGGCAAGTGTACAGAACCAAGGAGAGGGCACTTGAAAAGATTCAAGGTAGTGTATTTGAGCACTATAGAATTTTATGGGATTATTGCAAGGAGTTGAAGAGGACAAACATCGAAACAACTGCTTTGTTAAGGAATTGTCAGGAATTCCTTTTTGCCATGTCATTGCCTCAATTGCATCAAGGGGCCTTAATGTAATGGAGTATGTAAATGACATGTACAAGAAGG